ATGGTCAACTAAAGTGGCTCGAATTTCATCTGAGACTGCTTGTCTCCTTGCCCTTCTTCTCCCTCCTCCTCCTCCTCCTCTCCCTCCTCTCCCTCCTCTCTCTCCTCCTCCTCCTCTTCCTCTTCCTCTTCGACCTATTCCTTCATTTCTCTGTGGATCCATTGTTCCAAAGCTCAGTGAACTGATTCGGGCCCTTTTATCTATTTATTGAAGGATCTGATTGATGTGTGTTCAATTTTGACTCGTAGTGTTTCCACCTGGGTAATTGTTTGCTAACTGAGCTGAAGCTGTGCTGACTTGAGTGAACAGTATTGAATGTTAGTGCTTTCTAAATGACCACATGGTGTAAGCACTGAGAAATGTAGGGATTTGTGTGTAGTTTTGCAGTAACAGTTCACCAAATCTGACTCATGTGTTAAAGCAGGGGAATAGTGTTTATAGTTCAGCAAAATGGGTGTGCTTTTTTTTATAAATGAAAAATGGCATTATGGTTTTGAAATTTTAGTTCAAAAGCTTGGTTATAGTGTTTTAGCAATCGAGAAAAACTGTATTTATCAGTGTACTGTGGGTGTGTACATGTGGCACAGGTGTGACATGAATATAATCAATGCCATTCATAGGTTACATAATTGTTACTTATTTAGAAGTTTCTGTTGACCTCTAGTTTCTGCATTAGCTAATGTGTAAAACTTTATAAATCAATAAGTGTGTCACTAAGTATTTGTTTTAATAAATTTTTAATAAAAAAAGTCTAATTTTCTCAGGGTGGATTGTTTTTCTTTTTAATTTCCTTTTACACGGAGACCCTGCAAGCAGGTTCATCAGTTGAACATAAACTGTTTTCAGGGTGACAATATGTCTGTTTCTTGCCTGACCACAACCCACCCGCTGGAGTCTCTAACAGTCAAACTACACAAGAAAAACCAAGATAAAGACATCCTGATATATCCAGACATCTCTCCAGCATCAGAGCACCAGAGATGGTCTGTGAGGAAAGAGGATGGAAATGTTACACTTCATCTGAAAGACATCAGATTATCTGATGATGGCTTTTATGACAGGCAGGTCTACAAGGATCAGGACTGCCTTCATTCAACTCGATTTAACCTGAGTATTATAAGTGAGAATGCAAATTATTCAAAACAAGCTAATAATCACGATTAGAGAGCCATATACATGCATAATATGACTAGTAACGTGTTTCTCTGATTTCAGAGTGTAAAACTTTGGACTCTGTCCATCCAACACCAGGCTCATCGGTGTTGCTGTCATGCTCTGAACATCCTCTACAAAACAGAACTGATCGAGTCACCTGGAAAGTCGTTACTGGTCACCAACCAGCAGATATAACTCAGTATCGGCCAAACAAGCCCTCAAGCAGCACAGAGAAACTCCTGAAGCCTCTGTATGAGAGAGCGAGAAAACAAACGGATCTCTGCTTATAAGAGAAGCAGTCCACACGGATGAATTGTGGTATCAGTGCAGAGTGAATGAAAAAACCTGCTATGAAGTGAAGCTGCTGCTGAAAGGTATCTTTTCAATCCCTATTTTTAAGTCTTAATACAGATTCTCTGACAGACATTAATTAGACTGAAAGATTAAGTTAAACTATAATAGTTGTAATAGGTTAGTCAAAGTATTTTTTGATTTTCAAGGTAATAAACATGATAAAATATGTAAAATATGTTTAGGTACGGTTTAGATTAAAATGATGTTAGCATGTGGTTAACGTGTCTGTTTGGTAATACAGTAGATGTGATGAATGTGTGAATATTTAAACAAACTTGTAGAAGGTTAATGTTTTTATACCCGTTGGAAAATGTAGATATAACATTTGCATTATTGTCTAAATATGTATGAAATTATAGATATATTTTGTACTGTAAAAGTTGTTTGTATTTTGATTAAAGCAGTTTATCCAATGACACTGAAAACACTTTCCACAGCATCATTATCCGCAGGTAAGTGCCTGAAGTCGTGTGTGTGATTAAAAGGACCTAACCAAACTGACTGATGTTCATATAAGTTTATATTTCTCTAGTGATCACAGATGCTCCAACCCTAGCTGCTGACAGTACGGCTGGCCAAACTCAAGGCAACAACAGTGACAGCTAATCTGACCGTAGTATTGATGACCACAATAGTGTCTCTGTGTGTCCTCATATCACTGGCCGTCTGTGTCATTCTGTATTTTTTAAGAAAACAAAGGAGCAAAATCAACAGCCAAAGTAAGTCCACAACTGTTGTCCTGGAAAGTTTAACACTATTGAAATGATCTTAAACAGCATATTTTAAATAATAAAAATGGCTTATTGCGGAAAAGGAGGATCCAGACATACACATTTTTATGTGTGTGTTGTTATTTTTCTACTGACCAGTTATGACAGAAATCAGGATCAGCTACACTGATCTTACATTTGCTCATTTTGCAGTTGTTTTCTTTCAAATGAGTGAATTTAATTGATGTTCTTTGAGCAACTGTATGATGTGCTATTACTATGTTAGCTTGTCAGTGAAAGCAAGCAACCAAGTAAATGTATTTAGAATTTTAATGTTTTAAGTCTTCTAAGATTGTTTTGCAATGAGACATGAAATATAGTTCATATCATGCCTTCATGGTGATGAGAGTCCTCATTGTTGGAATGAAAGGCACATGGTAATACTGTAACATTTATGCAATATTATGATATTGATCAAATGGTAAAGTACTTATTTTTGTATCTTTTAGTTGAATTGAGCTGCTGGTCTACTGTATCTTATTCCAACATTTCAGGAGGTAAGTGATATTCATTGTAAATCCTTGTGTGATAAGTGTATTTGATGAAGTGTATTTAATAAGAGACTTTTTTGTTTTTTGCAGGGTTTGTTGGTCCGTTCTATTCTTTAGATGAACATAACACGACCAGCTGTGAGTTACTGCAACAGAATCATTCATTTCTTTCCTGAACTATCTACAAATGTATTAACAATGAAGCTGGGATCCAGGATCCTGGAAGTCACATCAAATTGGTTTGGCCCAATTTACATGCTTCTTTCCAATAAGATATAATATATTATATCTTAAATTCATATACAGTAATATCACTTTATAACATGGACACATGTGTACTGTATATGCAATGCAGCACACATCTGCAACTGTGCATGATTCAAAAATTACTTTTTTTATCAAATTAATTTTTGTACATTTTTAATTTGAATGTGCTTTTTTGGTGTTGTTGCTTTTGGAAATAATGTATCACTGATCCATCTCAATCTGGGGAAATTTGCTTAGTATCAGCTTTCACTCTGCTTCTGCCACATAGCTGAAACTATTTGAATGACTTAATATTACTAAAGGGGGGAAAAAAGCTTTTTCTACATTTCACTCACAGACTTGCTGCATTTGGACCCAATTTTAATACAAATGTGACTGATATAAGCAGGCGGAAGTGACTTTTTCTGTTACTGCTAACAGTAATGACATTTCAAAATCATCCACTAAAAAAGTGATAGAAGACTTTACTGTAGCTTGTCCTTGAAAAGCTTGCTTGAAACTATGATTTATAGAATAGTCATTGCTAACAATAGTCAAAAATAACAGGGATGCATTTTTCTACAGTACACACATTCATAAGAGAGACACAAATGGCAACTTTTCTGTAGAATGACTCTTGGATTTTCTTCTTTTTTTGCACTTGATGTAATGTTTGTATTGCAATAAACAATCCTGAACAGACTTACACTTGCGTTCTTGTGTATGACTTAAGTTATTCCCTCTATTATACTTTTTTCTGTAACCTGGGCTATGACTGTCAGAAATGTAAATAATATGTTAGCAAATACCAGTTTAGCAGCGCTAGAGAATGAATGAATGAACTCAAGTAAGTGTCTGACTGAGACAGAATACAATGGTGCAGTATTTTAAATCTTTTTCCGTATAAATATATATTTAAATAGAGAGCAATTATGGCTGGTTTGCTGTTTTGATGTGCTTGGTGCAGTACTCAGAATATGATCCACAGTATCAGTATGTATGTGCATGCATGAAGTTTATTTTATACTGTAATGCTCACTGAGGCCTGCAGAGGGCAGTGTGTGTCTCTCAAAATACTGGAGTGTCCAGACTGCTCACATCTCTAATCTCTTAAAGGCTTTAGCTTTCCAAACCTCACTCATAAATGAACTTCCCTCAGATCAGCTGCATACACACTGCTCATTCCTGCTCATGCTGTGAAAAATCACTGTCACACCCTGTTCATCACATCATATGCACATCCTGGAAATCACAGAATCTCTTTCTAAATAAGTAGATATATATATATACTTGTATCATGACCAACAGTCAGCTCTGGAGTCCTCAGTTCTCAGCTCTGTGGATGATGATGGATTGTATGACCATTCCAGCATAACCTCTAAAATCTGCAGACCAGTTCCTGCTAAAATCCGAGAGAGGAATCTGTGGAATGGGGTGTGAATGAGAGCTGCCTGTTGATGAAGTACAAACAAGGAAAAGAACTGACGCTTCATTTTTGGACTAAATAACTTTAGTCCTGCTGTAAAATTAATAATAGATAGTGAAACTCCAGTCTTTTGTTTTCCACTCTTGAGCTTCAACTGCTACGCCACGTCACCATAATTACTGTATAAACCAGATGTGCAATCTCAGGTTAAATTCTTTTCTGTCCATAAAACGGGGAAACGGCTTTTCACACACCGAGACACCTGACGTTTTAACTGTCATTGAGTCAAATACATTCAGACATGGCTTTGTTATTAATCTAGACCTCAGGTCCACCTTAGAGGGCCTTTTGTGAAAGAGCTTTAATGATCCCTTTAGTTTGAGTGTAAAAAAAATTTTTTTTTCAGAGTTAAAGCCAATTGAATTGAGAATATAACTGACCTCCACAAAAAATAGCAATTTAGACAAATTGAGAGACCATAATATTTTAATTTAACTTAGGGATAAATTGAAGAAATGAGAAACTTTCGTTTGTATAAATTGAATGAATACAGATGGAAGGAACATGATTGAATTTAGTTTTAAGTTTTGTACATCTTTCTAAAAATGTCAGTTAGCAGAGAGTACTCTTTTTTTTTTTTTTACAGTGTAACAAAAAGCAAAAGTAATACAAAGGGAAATGCCATTAATAATCCAAAACATTGTGTTCCTGTTTTACAGCTCTTCCGAGATGAGAAATCAAGGTTTAGAAATGACTGATTTCATTCTCTGCTTAGAGTGCATGTTTTTAATAGGTGTTCACAGGGAAAGTGTACATTTTTAAATATGTTGAATGTTATCTTTAAAATAACTAACTCATGTAGCTAATTGTTTTAATGATTAGAATGTGTGCAAAATTGCTCGTCTCTGACATTTTACATAGATCACATTTCCTACTTTGGCTCTTCAAAAACAACTGTGTTCAGGTAAAAGGTCTTGTGGCCTGTGCTCATATTCAGTTGTATTGTAGTGAGCTACTCGAAACTATCTATTTGATGAGGTGTTTTAGTCTTCAAACTGCATTTACCAATCCTCCACATCTAACGGCATCTTTCTAATAGTAATATATCTGCTATTATAAGATTTAAAAGTAAATATGACATCTGAAAACTCCCCATTGCATACAGAAGCTCAGTGAAGTCCTCAATATTCACACATAATTAGCCCAGATTTCCTACTTCCGCATTAAATTCTGAGTAACTGATAAAACTCTGTGAAAGTGAAGTGATGTGGCCTGTGCTCATATAGAGTTCAGCTGTCCTGCAGTGACCGTCTGGATATGATGAGGAGTTTTCAGTCTTCATATTTCCAACACCTGTATCTTCCAATAGCAGCTTTATTAGAATGTAAAGGTGAGTGTCTTTTATTTGAAGTCAAATTCCTTTAACCACCATACAAACAAGAGGTATGAATATTATCAAAGTACTGAGGGAGTGTAAATGAGGCACGGGTGTGACATGAATATAATCAATGTCATTCATATGTTACATAATTCTTACTTATTTGGAAATTTCTGTTGACCTCAATTCTTAGTTGTTGTGCTAACAAATGAGTTGTGTTCTAGCTACATTTTAAAGCAAGAAAGCATGTCATTAAGAACAGTATTTGTTTTAATATTTTTTTTGTGCAAAGATTAACCCAGACAGTATTTTTATATAAAATGGATATAAGTCAGTTTATGGATTTAATATTGTTATACACTTGCAACCAAGTGGATCATTTGAGAAAATTACTTGTTTTTTATTGTAAACCCTGTGGTGGTTTCCTGTCTTTCCATGTCTCAGTTCTCTCAGGATGTCTCATTTCTCTTTTTAATTCCTTTTTAGCTCAAACACGGAGACCCTATGTTCATCAGTTGAACATAAACTGTGTTCAGGGTGACAGCATGACTATTTCTTGCCTAACCACAACCCACCCGCTGGAGTCTCTAACAGTCAAACTACACAAGAAAACCCAAGATAAAGTCATCCTGATATATCCAGACATCTCTCCAGCATCAGAGCACCAGAGATGGTCTGTGAGGAAAGAGGATGGAAATGTTACACTTCATCTGAAAGACATCAGATTATCTGATGATGGCTTTTATGACTGTCAGGTCTACAAGGATCAGGACTGCCTTCATTCAACTCGATTTAACCTGAGAATTATAAGTGAGAATGCAAACATTTTAAACAAGCAACTAATCACCATTGGAGAGCTGTATATATAATAAGACTACTTCTGTTTCTCTGTTTTCAGAGTGTCAAATGTTGAACGCTGTTCATGCAACGCTAAACTCTTCAGTGTTACTGCCATGCTCTGAACATCCTCTACAAAACAGAACTGATCAAGTTACTTGGAAAATCGTTAATGATCGCCAATCAACAGAAATAACCCAATATCGCCTTCTATACAACCCCTTAAGCACTACAGAAAAACGCCCAAAGCCTTTGTATGAGAGAGCGAGAAAACAAGCGAACGGATCTCTGCTTATAAGGAATGCAGTTCACACTGATGAATCGTGGTATCGGTGCAGAGCGAATGAAAAAACCTGCTATGAGATGAAGCTGGTTATGAAAGGTGTGTTTTCAATGCAATATTTTGAAATCAAATCTAATCTAATTAAGCAATATCACATGAGGAGAAATAGTGGTGTTCTTCCAAATATAATGTGATTCAAGCGCTGATAATCAGCCACAATAATATTTAGACCTTAATAGTCCTATACTAACAAAAATAGATCTAAAAGTCAAAGTAGAATAAACTATCGCTTCTATGAGGAACACAGTCGGTGTTTAAATGAATCAGTTGAGTAAATGATTCAATGAGTCAGGTTTTGCCACTTAAGTGGCATAATTATGTAGCCTGTATAAATCCCCTTTACAAATGCACAGACAGTCTACCTATAATAGTTTAATAGTTTTAAACTATTATAGTTTAACATTTTTATTATATTCTAAATATCTTCTGAAGAGATTAATAACATCAAAAACTTCAGCATACATCACATTATGCTTCAGATGAAGTCTTTGAAAGGCCAAATATAATTACTCTTAGGCTGCTGTCTTTATAAAAGGAATGCTGAGTTTAACCATACTTTTTAGATACATTTATTAATATTTGAATGTTAATTAAAGATTATGAGACACCTCATTCGACAACAATATTGGAAACACTTTCCACAACTTTGTTAGCCACAGGTAAGACCAGAGCCTGAATATGTGTGTGTTTGTTTATGTGCATGTGTGTGATCAAAACAATCTATTCAAATGAAGTGTTGTTATGGTCTTTTCTTTATTGATCACATATGTTCCAGCCTCCGCTGACAGTCCTTTTGGCCAGGCTTAAAGCAACACTGAGCCCAAGAGTGCAACAGTGACAAATAATCTGACAGTAGTAGTGATGACCACAACAGTGTCTCTGTGTCTCCTCATATCACTGACCATCTGTGTCATTCTGTATTTCAAAACACGAAGATGCAAAACCAACAGCCAAAGTAAGTCCACAATTGTATCCATGAAACGTATAACACTATTGTGTTGTCACTGTCAGAGCAATGGCTTATTAAAAACGAGAGAGGAAGTGATGACTGTTATTGTCATCAGAACATAGTTTGTATGTGTATACTTCCTGTTATATATTTATCCTTGACTCTAACTGAACGTTTATTCAGACAGAAACCAGAACCAGCTAAACAGCAGGCCCTCTATCATTTGCTTGTTTTGCAGTTGTTTTCCTTCAAATGAGTGAATTTAAGAGTAGCTGTTTCTTGTGCAACAGTAAGATGTGCTATTAGTATGTCAGAAAGTGAAAGTTAAATGTAATAAGGATTTATGTCAGAAAGAAACATAATGTAACTTTTATGCATGATTGTAAAGTTCCCTTTCGTGGAACTTCGAACTGCGTCCTCTAGGGGTCGCTATGGGGAACGCCTCGTCGTGACCCGTGTCTGAAGCCTACATTGAAAAAACACCAACTTGTTTGGCCGGCGACAGCCATGACGTCACTACCGTCGCGACTAGTACAAAATAGGCGCCGGTAGCGCACATCATTCTCTTCTTCGTCTTCACTGACCGGTCTGTTTGAAGCGTGCATTCCAAAAAGCAAAGTAAGAGCTTTTCTTTCCTACTATGGGTCTGTTGAGGCAGTTCCTTCAGCACATACAAAGAGAAACGTGCGGTAGCCCCTGTGTGACAGGTCAAGACTAGTATGATTCTAGGCTCTTGGTCGTATTCCCTTAAAGGAATCTATTTCTGATTTCAAGCCTTGAGCTCTACCCCGGGCCCAGGAGTCTGGCCCTAACAGGTAAGTATTTTGGGGTATGTAGCCTAGGCCTTTGGCCGTAGGGAATAACGTCACTGACAGCTGTCTAACGTCCCAGGGGCGACTCCCATAGCGATATGGTAGAGTTGGTACTTAGTGCTCGCCATGGTTCTGGCTTGCACTCCCCTCGGCATGGCGGCGTGGGTAAACCGTTCCCCATAGCGACCCCTAGAGGACGCAGTTCGAAGTTCCACGAAAGGGAACGTCTCGGGTTACTTGTGTAACCATGGTTCCCTGAGGGGAATGAGACACTGCGTCCTCTAGGTTTCTTGCCATGCTTCGGACGCAAGGTTCAGACGAAGAAGTGAATGATGTGCGCTACCGGCGCCTATTTTGTACTAGTCGCGACGGTAGTGACGTCATGGCTGTCGCCGGCCAAACAAGTTGGTGTTTTTTCAATGTAGGCTTCAGACACGGGTCACGACGAGGCGTTCCCCATAGCGACCCCTAGAGGACGCAGTGTCTCGTTCCCCTCAGGGAACCATGGTTACACAAGTAACCTGAGACGTTTCTTTTCGTCTCATATAGCACAGCTAAATGGCTGGTTCTCTGTAAATTACACCCAAGTTGCAGATGGTAAGTGGCATTCATTTTAAATGTTTAAATGTATAAATAAAAATGAACATTTATGTAATTGATTACAATCTCTCTCTTTTTTTTTGGACAGGGTTTGATTTACCATTGTATTCTTTAATTGAACAAAACACAGCAACAATGACCACCTGTAAGTTAATGCAAAGTATTATTTCTATACACATGCTATACTGAAAATGTAACCTATTTGAATGGATGAAATTAATCTTCAGTTTGTTTAAACAATTTACACAGAATTTGCAAATGTAAACACGATTCAAACAATACATTAACTGATTTTTCTTTAATAATGGCAGGTAGTGTCGAAATGAATTTTTGAACTTTATCTCCCAACAGTTGGTGCTGAACAATCAGAAGCTCCTGCATTTAAACCAGATGACATGTATGAAAAGTTAACACTGTGAAATGAATATTGGCATTTTTAAACTTTTGTGATGTCAAAGTCTTTGAGAAATCACTAATTTAGTAATTACATGGCATCTCTCACAAATTATAATAAAGGGGAACATCTTTTATACTCAAACAGTTCTGGGTGACACTCGTTGAGGTTCCTTGTAATGCTATTATGTTTTTATTGTTTTTTTAATCCTGTAATGTGAAACTAATATGTTGTCATGCAACTTTCAAATCTTCAGTTCTTTCAAACTCTATAAAGACAGTCAAAACAACTATAAGCCTTTATATCATAGCAGACAGGCTGTGACTGATTTGTTTTGTGAGGCACAGTCACAGGCTGATGATCTGATAACTGGTCTGATGCAAGCTTAAAAAGTTAATGATAAAAATAAACATTACAGATTCCAGTGTCATCATAGCAGCAAGTTTATCAAGGCTTCTTTGAATTATGTAGTGTGAACAGTAAATTCATCAGAAATCGTATTCACAGTTAAGAATGTAGAATTAACAATACGCAGGGGTAGGGCTCATTTCTTGTGAAAAGCTTCTTGTGGTTTTCCATGTTATCCATCAGTGTCACATGATCATGGGTTTTCAACAACATCTTTTGGTGCACTACCAGAAAAACAGATACCTTACAGTATATACAGCAAACACTCCATTAAATGCTGAACCTTTTTGTGCTTTACAAAGAGGAGTCAAAATCCACACCCTGGACACACAGAGTATAGTATCACTGATTCGTGCCAATCTGTGGAAAATTACTGCTTATTGCACTATTGCTATTTACACATCGCTGAAACAAGGAGGGGTCAGGTTTGTCAGTGTAATGCCTCTGGCAAATTTTCATGAATGCTTTTTTCTATTTACCACTTAACAAATGAAACAATCTAAATTTAAATACAATTTAAAGCCACTTGAAGACCTTGCTGCATTTAGACACATTATTGACACAACTGGGATTGCTGTACACAGATCTTTTACTTTTATATTACTTGAGAGTTTTAAGGGCCACGGGTGCCTTTTTTCAGATATAATTTCGCCTTAGATTTAACAGGGTTGACCGTTTTTACAGTTCAGTTTGACATTATTACAAGTCACGAGCGCGAAGGTTTTGAAACAGGTGCTTCTTATAAATGAATGCTGATATGTTGATAAATATCTACTTTAAATAGATATTAGTTTACTACAAAATCAAGGTAACAGTGATGACATTTTAAAATCATCCTCTAAAAAACAGTGTCCTTCAAAACTTTACCACTTGAAAAAATGACAAAGTTTTATTGATTTATAGAATATTTCATTGTTGTTAAAAGAGAAAACTGATAACAGGGGTGTGATGCATTGTTATACACACACTCATATGAGAGACACAAATGGTTTTGTATAGAACGACTCTTGGATTTATTTTATTTACTATTATGCTTTTTATTATATACAATATATAATTTAACAGAATTGATGCAATTTAACAACTAAACAGCCTTGAAGAACGATATAGACATGTAAAGATAGGGATATAAATGGAAACATTTGGATTTTTTGTGGTTCATTATTATTAACTTATTATGAAGTTATTCCCTCTATAGTATTTCCTTTGTTGCATATCTGGGCTATGACTGTCCTTCAAAACTGCTTATCAAACTCCAGCTCTCTAGTTTAATACCAGTTGTGTCTGCTCTGGACCACAGTGATGCAAACTTGTTAAATACTTTCAGTGTTCATCCAATAATCACAGTATGAAACATCTAATTAGGACTTAGAGATGGGATTCAGGTGAATGTTGACTATTACTCACAGGCGATTATACCTCACTTGAGTCTGATTTTCTTTTTCTCTATTATTCATAAGGTCATTGATTGATTATTGTTAGATACTTATTCATTCATTTTTTTCCAATTAATTTTCCTTAATTCAGATCTATATGGAGACACTACGTTACATATATTTCCTTTAACTTTTTGTTTTATTCTATTATATTTCTATAATCATCATCATTTGTTGTCGTTGTTGTTATTGTAACTAGTTATCCAACACATATCCAGCTATTTAATGTTCAGCTGTGAAAATTATGCATTTTTATGCAGTCACACTTCTTGATGTCCTTCGACTTTACTTTTGCTTTTAAAGCGTGTCTGCTGACTTACCTTAGGCAGGCCTATGTTTTCAGGCTATCTTTCTGAAGAAACGGACTAACTTTTAAGATATTTTCTATCAAATCGCATTGCTTAATTTTCCGTAACCTCGGGATAGTGGAATGAGATCGTGTCGCTCAGGTGAAACACGCCACATGACGCTGTTCCCGCGGGCTGAGGCGAAACAAACGGAGAGAGATGCCGAAGCAATGAGGTCACACGACAGATTTCACTCTGACGCTTTGTAACGACCCGTGAAACCTGCAAGAGGGAGGGGAGGGAGAGGAGTGTCTGACAGAACCGTTCAGCTCGAGGCGAGACCTGCATCGTGGATATTTATTATTCAGCGTGACTGACGATATCAGGACACAACAACACACAACAGCGACGAGTTCGCGCGCGCAGCGGGATATTCAACTTAAGCTTTTATCTGACGTTATTTACTGAAGTAGGCTACTGTTGTCTTTTGAGTTTTGATACATTAAGCTAAAATGAATCGAATGGGGAGTATGTGCACATTTGATGAAATCAGATGGGATGACAGAATGGTATGTACCAATTTATTCATTACTTATTGTATACTATCTCTTGAAAAATAACAAATGTGATTGTTTTTACTTAAATTTGTCTGCATAGTTGTCTGCACAGGTCTGGTTGTTATCTGAAACAAAGCTGCACATACAATTCTTGTGAATATATAATAGCCTAATATGAATATGGATGAATAAGCACAAGTGAAATTGATTCAAATATAACTAAAATAGTTAGTTTTGAGGGAAAATGTTAACACATGTTGCCATAGGTTTCTGGGTCGTTTTCTCATCATACTCGTAAAAGAGAACTTTGATCCTCTGTAACGAATCTTCCTGGTAAATTATTAAATGCGCTACGTGTTCCCTCACTTATTTACAAGGTCCAGTGCTTCATTCATTTTTATAGTCAAAATGAAGTTTGTAAAGCCAAATGATCTCAGTTTAAATGTGACCCTTTATTAATTAACAGTATTTATAGTGGCAAGCTGCACTAACCCTCCTTTACCTCCCTTTGCCCTTCTCTGTATGCACAACAGATGCTTAATCTGGTTTAATGTCACTTACTTGATATTTGGTTTCCCTAATAACCTGTAAGAGGCATTTGTGCCAGCACAGGGGATAGTTAAGCCAAATACCAGCTGTGTCCATGTCTGTTCAACCAGACTGTATTTAAAAAGTGTAATGGCAGGTAAGATGATTATTAACCTGAGCTTTCCATCAGGTTGCTGGGCAGCCGTGTGGCCTTACTTGTTTTATGGCTTCACAGAATATATATTTCATGCTTTCTACATGCAAAGTGGGCAAGAAGGTATAGGAAGTGAGACAGGGCTCAAGTATTTGCTTGATTGTGGAAGGTTTCCTTCCTTTTTAACATTATGGTCATTCAGACTGATTCAAAAGTCTGGCTTGATAATGCACCATATTGTAGCCTATGTTTTTCAGCAGCTACTGTTTTTGCATATTTTTCATTTGCTAACATGAAAACAGGACATCATTCAACAGGAAGCTCTTTAATGGACTTGTCATGCATCACAAGGTCAAAGACCATTTGAGATGCATTCTTTGGAGAGTCATGCACTTACAGATTCACTTCTGAAAGTACTTTTAAAGAATCCATGTAGTTCTCTAGTAGATTAGGGTAAAGAAAACTTGGTAACACTTTAGTTAGTATAGGGACCAATTCTCACTAGTTGCTTATTAGCATGCCTATTATTTACTTATTTGCTGTTTATTAGTTCTTATAAAGCACATATTCTGCATGACCATATTCTACACCCTTAATCCTACCCAGTACCTAAACGTAACAACTACCTTACTAAGTATTAATAAGCAACAAATTGGGAGTTTATTGGGGCAAAAGTCATAGTTAATGGTTTGTTTATAGCAGGAACTGAACCTTAAAATAAAGTACACTTTTTCACTTTTATACTTTGAAATTGAGTTGGAGATGATGAAAAAACTCCCCATTTTTTATATGAAGTAGAAGCCAACAAAAGCTTTTTTTGTAGCTCTATTGTTTTTTTTTTTTACAAGATTAACCAGATGATCTGTGGTTATGTAAGGCGTTCCTGCTTTTTTAAAACATTTTTTTTAAACCATTGTTCAACCAGCTGTGTCAGTATATTTACTTTCTCTCTACTCCATCTACTCTATTTATTTTGTTCATTTACCGGTCCCTTGATCAATGCCTCTTTCGCTTTTGGCATAGGCTTAGGAGTCAAACAACAAATATTTAACTTCAAACTTGTATTTACTCACTTTTTATGTGGCTTGTGTGAAAGTTCAACTTTTGCCTCTCTCATCAAGTTCATATTATGAAGCAGATTGCACTGATAGTCATTAGCCATCTGTGTGTCTATGGTACTTATGCTGGGGTAATATAGAGTACATACAATACAGTAGTTACAAATATGTACACTATGCGAAAGCTTGGCTTGGCTGTGTTGCCTTGAGGTGACAGAGTTCCACAGAACACTGCGGTGAAATTGACTTGTGTTTTGTCTTGTTACGACAATGCTGGACGCACTTCTAATTACACTAATGAAAATTAAGAACAATGTAAACTCATTTGTATGTTGCTAATTTAATTTTTATTTATTTATTACTAATCTAAACTATTCATTCATTCATTCCCCTTCAAGGATAATTAGATTTTTTTCTGGTCTCAAAATATAAGAAATGTAAAAAGAAAAAGGCCCAAGGGGTATCACAACCATATGCTAATACTTTTGATAAAGCAAAACATTTATGAATAACATTCAAGTACATACTGTATGTCAATTACAAAAAAAAAAAAAAAACTGCAGCAAATTAATTAATTAATATATTGATAGAATTGATTGAATATTGATAGAACAACATAAAGCTTCCACCCCCAAGTGTGGGATCAAAAATTTTAGATTTGACTATAATGACTTTTGCCATTTCATAACCTATTAACTTAATATTTTCTTTAAAAAAATCCCAATTATTTTCATTCTAACATGATTAATGGTGCTATCATTAATGTTTCAGTTCACACAGATTCAGTGTTTGTATAAAGTCACCATTGTCTATATAGTCTCAGGTTTCCAGCAGCTATTCAGATTTCTCGCGTGACCTATACATCTTACCGAGAAAAAACGCTTGTGTGATTAGCCGAGTCTTTTGTCTGTCTCTTTGAGAGGGCCAGAGGCCTGTATCCAATGACACATTCCACTCACGGCTTTCATACAATCCCCCTATATTCCCTCTCTTTTTCACCCATCCTTTCTCTATGTCCTGTCTCTCTCTTGAAGCTCTTCTCGTTCTGTCTCTCTGCTTTGTACCTCACAGCTGCGTTCAGGTTTCACTCTGACCTGGTTTGATTTCCAGTGAACAAACACCTTGCACTCCATCTCTCTCCATCTCTTATTAATCGTCTCTTTGTTTTCTTAATACCCCGGTGCCAACACCTCTTTTTTTTCTATTTCCTTGGTACACAAAATATGCAAATCTCACAGAGCTCTTATATAATCTCTAAATAATGATCATTCCCGTCAGCCAGAGACTTTGCATGCATATTTGTGTGCATGTTTAAATGTGTCCATTTGAAAGAGAGATGTCGTGTTATCAGAGAGTTTTGGTATTTGATGCTCTGTTGTAATGAGCCTGTTCAGATGCCCCGAGCATAATCCTTACAAACTTCTTTCCAAATAGATTTTTTTTAATCCTCTCCCATTACAGGCATGAAAATTGTTTTGTGCTGGGTGCGTGTCATTTTGCAGGTGTGTGTTGTGTGTCTTTGTTGTTCTCTTGGGTTGAGGTGTGGTGTTGAACTTGACTGATCTCGACTCTCTAAATGCTGCTTTGCCTTCTATGGAAACACCCGATTCACACACAGTCACAGGACTTCCCTGCAGTAGTACCTGTAGATTTGTTCAGGTAAATATATTAAGGCATAATTAATTTACTTTGAATTTGTTTAGAGTCCTAAACCAACTTTTGTTGATTTGGTTATCATTTGTTGATACTGACTATTCAGTTGCCTTACGTCGAGTCTGTCCGTCTTCCTGCTGCGGCGTCATTGTTGTTTTGTCTCATTTATGGGATTACGATAAATGTGTTGTTTTGGCCAGGTGGGTTGAGGTGTGGCTGCGTTTTGTGTAGTGATTTAGTAAGTGGTACAATAGTTATAGGTTTTTTTTTTTTTTACTTGGACAGATTGTATTTACAAACCTGCATCACAGACTAATGATGTAATCCGTCTTTGTGACATGCAATACAGTGGTGTGTAACTTCCAGCTTTACATGGAATGTTTTTGACAAAACATGTTGATTTCAGAGTGTGCTGTGTTGGTGAACTGTATTGGTGAGCATCATGCTTATCTTGTTTTGTCATGTTAATGACATAATATTTGCCTGATCTCGAAATTACAACAGAACAGATTAGGGGTGCAACGGTTCAACTTACTCACGGTTCGGTTTGTATCACGGTTTTAGAGTCACGGTTTCAGTACGGTTAGGGTTACGGTTGTGCTATGTTTAGGGAAAAAACTATATTGTCAAATAAAATAAAGAAAATAAGAACAAATAATCTAACTACAAGTAACAGCACAAATAAATAAACAGTGGGAAAAGATACAAATAAAATAAACAGTGCTTTTCAGTTTTTTTACTGATACTGTACGTTCAGCCGACTATGTCTGCTAGGATACTCACCGAGACGGGCATTTTGACATAATTTTTGTGTGAATTTGTCCATTCAAACACAATACTTCACAGAGAGCTTAATATTTGAGCGCGTTCTGAGACGCGGGTTCACGCGCTTCGGATGAGCGACCACGCAGATCTTCTCACTGCGCGCGCGAGTTCACGTCTTCTGGCTCTTTAATATTTAAACTGGCCAGGTTTAAATGAGTTTAGTTTAAACACAGATAGCAACGTGTGCTGTTCAGGTCTCACCTGCGTTATCAACACGTGATGACGGCATAAATGACAGTTATTCCAGCATAAAGCACTCGCATTGATTAAAGAGTGACTGGTTTGTCCACGTATTGTTTTTTTCTCTCTCTCATCGCTCTTGTTGTAATGTATTGGGAAGCCAGAATTTGTATCCATCAACAGAAACATGCTTTATCCGAACTCTAACAAACCATATTACAGAGGCATTGTCAGATTTAAGTTGAACCGCGGTCCTAGTGTATGCCGAACCGTGTGTGGAGAACGGTACGGTTCGATTTTTTAACGAGAACCGTTGCACCCCTAGAACAGATGCTATCTCGTGATCTTGATTCATGAGTGAATCAGTCAAAAGACTGGTCAGCTGCAAAGAATTTAATCAACATCTGTCAAACATCATTCTGTAAACATGCAGACGTCCTGTTCCCTTGAGATGGCTGGCTAAACTCTGAACCACATGTTCAGAGACAGTATATAGTCTGATAATGTTGTAGCCTCCTCCTTTAGTGTCAGACACTGATTTGGAAGGGCTTCATCTCCGACAGAGCTATTTCACATACTGGAGTCAGTCCCTGATCAAAGTAAATCTCACAGCTCTGACTTTTTTCATAGAATTGCAAGAAAAAGTCAGAAATGTGAGAAAAAAAATTATTTTTAATTTTGTTATTCTGTGGCAGAAACAGGCTTCGGACATTTCAAAGTTCATGTGTATGCATTATACAAATACATTTTTATAGATTTAAACTAAAAAAGGATCAGACATAAACTTGCAAATCTGAGAGGTAAACTCAAAATTGTGAGATATAAATTCAGAATTGTGAGATAAAAACTCTCAATTCTGAGAAACGTACCTTTTTAATTTGTTTATTTGGCTGAAGCTTCCATACTTTTGTTAACTCCAGACCAATAAAACAACTTTTAAATCAAATCTTGAGAATATTGTTCAATATTGTTAATATAGCTAAAATGCTAAACTCTTCCATATATCCCTTATATAGTGGTATAATGAATAATTTTTTCGCACAAACATACCACAGCTGATTCATTGTTTGTCATAGGAATAAGAGTATACTTGATTACTTAATCACATAACGTTATATAATGTCATTTGCTAGAGTAATTTGCCTTTTATTGTATCTCATATTCTGTCTTGTTATTACCTATTACTAGATGATCACACAGGGATGATATAGTAATAGGTAATAATAATAATTTGCAGTATTTTTATGAATCACTGCAGCTTCTCTATTTGTACGTGATGTCAGGTTTACCTATAACAGTAATCTGCCATTATACCCCATTATCACTGTCACTATCACTGTCATTTGTACCAAACTGGTCTCTTGGCTTCTGTACCCACATTATTTGTACCCTAATATTGCTAAAATAATACCTGCCCTAATGACAGTAAATATGAATCCCATCTAATCTAATACAGATTGTGTCTCATGTGAATGTGTAATGTCCTCTGTCACATTTGCTCTGACTTTTTAGACACTTGATCTTCACCCCAGTGATGACCAGGGACATTTTCACAGTCGGACTGGGCCTGTCTCACACATATTTAATAAACATGTCACAGTTTGTGCACGCTGTCTACCACACGCTCACTTTCAGGACCTCCCGTCCCACTGTGACTCACACAGACTACTTTTAGAGTCAGTAGAATGTTCTGGATTTATGCATGGACACACACAGCCATCTGTGGTTGGTTTAAATTGTCCAATGTTTATTGTTTTAAATATTTCATCAGATTATGTTCTTGAATACCATATACAGTTATTCAGTTCAATTTCTCTTAATTTGGTCATGTGGATGTTATCTTATGTTTTGTATGAGTGTTGTCTTATGAGTGTTTCCTCTCATCTGTTTGTGTGGTTGCCAAAGCTTTATAGTCTCTGCTTTGTCTCTTCCTGTGTCCAACAGACATAGTTTATGTTGTTGATGGGTGTCCCGGTTGTCATGGTGATATTCCGTTCTGTGCTGGAACGCATTGTTCCGTTTAGATTTGTGGCGTCCCGCCTCCATCTTTGTGACGATTTAAATTTACATTCAAATACAACGTTTTGGCGAAGCCTGCCAGGCTCAAGAATTTTCCAGAAGCTGAGGAACAAATCCAATCAGACTTTGTGTATCCTAGTGACTGGACTGTAAATGCCTTTCGCTTTCACATTGAGTAACCACAGACCTTCCTGCCAAACTTTAATGGGCCACTGACCTCCAGTCAGTCTCTCTCTCTCAGAGGGCATTACTCAGTTTCTCCTCCCCACATGTTCCCCTCATCCATACAGCTCCCACCCTTTTGCTTTCTATAACGGTCTCTTTGTTGCATCCCTCACTCACATTTGCGCTTCTCTTCATGTCGTTATTCAGAACGGGCACAGAACGCTCAGACTGACTCTTCAAGAGCAGAACCAGCACCAGCCGCCAACCACAGATAAGGTACTGTTTCTTTCTATTTTACACATAGTCAGATAGAGATGGTCTAGTCTTGACATGTTCAGATATCACATTCAGCTTCTGATTCAATGTTTTTAAGCATTTATGTAGGATTTTAAAATATATTCAGTGTTTCAGACCATGGGAAGGTTTTAGAAGAATGAAAAAGTGCCTGTTTGAAACCATTCCTGAGTTAAATCTCTGATGTTTATGCTTTAGCTGAAGTTATACCAGAATGTTCTAGTATAATACCAGGACAATGTTAGTATCATTGAGTATGGCCTAAATATATGTTTAGTATGTATTTATATTTAGATCTATTTATTCATATTAGTCTGCATAAACTGTTTAGTAATTTATTTATTTTTAAAGACTGGTCATAACTTTTTAATTTCAATTGCATAAAAGGTAAATTGGTCTAATCTGAACATGAAAAGTAAGACTTATTACCAATTTTCTAACTGCTAGTTGGTCAGACTGGTCAACTGGCCACCAATACAGTATTGCATGTTTTAAAGTTGTGTATTGTATGCTTATCTCTACTGTTGTTTATGAACTGATTATTTCTGGTTATGTTGTGACAGTGATTCTTTAGAATCAGTTCGGATTAACTTCAGTGGAATTACCCCCACCCCCACCCCACACACACTCTCCTTGGTCCATTTCCCTCTGTCTGTCTGTCTGCCAAAGCTCTATAAACACAAGGAACATGTGGCTGTGTTCCAGGGGACGTTCTTGTAGGACCAGAGGCTCATTGTTTCAGATTCCAGAAATTGCATAACTTTCCATGTCCCTTTTCCCACATCTGCGCCCATTCCTGCTCTTTAGGGGTTTCCTGCTACACTTTGTGTGTTAGAGTTATTTATACTTTTTGTTTAGAAAGGAGCTTTTCGTTTTCTGCAAAGAGATGCCGATGTAAAGGTTGATTCTGAGAAAGTATAGATTGGAGTTGAGTTCTTATTTGGAAATATAGATGAATCATATAAAATATGTTTTGCTGTATTTTATGTCAAAATAATTCTGTAAATTTTAGAGAACTAAGACATCATACTACTTTAATAGGTAGAAGTCCTCCTGATCAAGCCTCTAGATGTTGCATGACATGAAGGTGAAGTAAATAACACATGCATACAATAGGGATTTAATATGTATTTGTCATGCCATTCCAGCCAATTGGCAGAGCTTTTGCTTTGGTACAACCAACCTATGAGAGACAGCCATTGAAGTCTGATTTGATCAAGCAGTCTGAGGACCAGGGTGAAGTCATCAAGGTGGGTCTGTCTTTAACTTATAGCATTATTATTAATATTTCATTCAGGCCCTTGTTGAAATAAGTGATGTCGATGCCCATGTTTTTAATCTGTTTCTAATCACAAAAATCTTTGTGTTTACTTGTCAGGTATATTTGGAAGACCGCAAAGAGGCACAAGCCAGACACCAACAGAGTCTAAAGATGCTTTCAGATGAAGTTTCACAAATACAGGAGGTCAGTGCAAAAATTCCTCAGTATCCTTTCTCACTTTTCTATGTTTAGATGTTTTCAGAACATGTGTATTAATAGTGTTGTACTGTGTGCAGGTGAGATACTGTCTAAAAAACCTCAGAGAGCAGATGGCAGCTAAAAATCACAGGACAGAACATAAGGTGAGACAAAAAACAATCAGCATATACTTCTTTTAAGCTATATAAATCATAAAATGTTAAATAGCTCTATTTGTTTTCTCACCCTCAGCTGGTGTTATCTGGTCCCAGAAAAGTTAATGGCACTCATTCAGCACTAACAAAGGCCCTAAACGGTTTAGAGAGACAGGTGAGACATTTACAGTACAGTATGTGCACTGTTGCTTTGCACAGGCTATCAGTCTGGATATTTAATTGTGCATGCTCATTTTCCCTATTTTTACATTAAGATTACCTTTGTTGCCATCAAATTCTAAACTAATATTTTTTGACACTGTTAAATGTAATCTTTAGCAAATATCTAAATGAATACAATTTTTCATACTGTAATTTCGAATATAGTGATGCCTAAATTCACTTTTAGTATGTAAAACAACTGCAAAAGCATTTTAGGCTTATTTTGCTTTTTTTTTGCTTTTTTCCCCCCCTTCATCGAACACTAATAAAACTAATAATTGTTCGAACTGTTGAATTTAATCTTTGGCAAATATCCAAATAAACTTTTTCATACTTACGTTTATAATATAGCGATGCCTAAATGAGTTGTTAGCATATAAGATAATTGGTTTTAGTTTTTATTGTTTTATTTTTTATTTATTTAGACAAAATAGTGTACTCAATCCCCCTATTTCTATCTTTATATTACATTTGATGTCAAAAAAGCTAACAATTTTTAGCACTGTTTAATGAAATATTTAGTAAATATCTAAATGAATATCATTTTATATTACGTACATACTTTACATTATAATATTGTGATTCTTAAACTACATATAGCATTTAAAACAGTTGATTTTAGCATTTAGTGTTTTTAATTATTTAATTATTTTATTTTATTTCATTTTATATAATTTTATTTATTTAGACAAAATAGTGTACTCAATTCCCCTACTTCTATCTTTATATTACATTTTATGTCATCAAAAAAGCTAACAATTTTTAGCACTGTTTAATGAAATCTTTAGTAAAAAATGTATAATTTTATTTTTTATTTCATTTCATTTTATATAATTGTATTTATTTCGAGAAAATAGAATCACATTTTTACAGAGCCACAACAAGAAAATATTTATCAACTTATTGATATCACCCAAAATGTTAATATCCGTCATCCCTCATTTTCATATTAACAAAGATATTTTCTATTCCCCTAAACCCAAACCTACTCCTCACACAAACCTGTTGAAATTATTAGCTTTAAAGTAAGACATGATTTATGAGCCATTCAAATAGTAAAGAGCACTTCAGTTGTTCTACAAACGTCTATTTGAAATGACCAGCATGCTTCAGTGCAGCTAAGTTATATAATATACAGTGTTAAAAAAATCTGTATCCCTTGGGTGTTCATTAGGTAATTGCTTATTCACACCTACATTACAAATCTCAACAATCTGTTAGCACACAACACATAAACAAACCCGCAATGGTAAACACCCATTAGTATTTAAGTCATCCAGGAGACAGGAATTAATCACCCAGGAAACCACACAAAAACGCACAGCTCAGGGAACACGTTAAGCCACCTGCAATAATTATCCGTGGTTCTTTATAATCGACAGTTTTTGTTCAACAGGTTTTAACGTTTCTCACATTCTTCAAATTCTTAGCTTTTGTTGCTTGGTGAAAGAAAATGCGGCGGCAGCACATTCTTTTTCGGATTGAATAGTGTGGATTAGCCTCCCAACGGTATGTGTGCTTCTGGTTAGAGCAGGAGAACGGGTGGAAAAGCTGAGCTATGACAGCGTACGTCAGTATTTTACTGTTAGAACACACACCCTGTTGACGCACGCACAGAGAAGCCCCCTCCCTCTTTCTGTCTAACTTACATTGTCGTCTCGCTCTCACACACGTCTATAAATAAGTGCTGGGAGAGATGTGGGCGTGTTTCAATAGACATCATTTGTAATTTGTTATAATTTTGTAATTTGTAACTGTGGGGTAGTGACTTGGTTCAAAATTGAGTACGGTTTTCTCCTATTTTTTTTTATTGCCTAAACCACTGCGTTAGTTGCATAACTAATTCAAAACACATGTGAGAACTACATGAACACACATACAAATTTGACTGTATCCAAACAAATTCCAGATTCTTTGCATTAAAGTTTTGTCACTGTATTCTCTCTCAGGATAGTATGGATGAGCAGGAAAAAGAGAAGATGAGGGAGGCCAGTAAACGTCTTTATGCTCAGCTCCAAGAGGCCGAGAAGAAACACCAGGAGGAGAGAGAAAAACTGCTGGTTAGTCACTTAGCATGCACTTTCTGTCATCCGTTTCTTTCTTAACATATAAGGATCCTAATGAGAGCACTCAAAGGAACCTTTGTTAGATTGTCTTCAGAGAAGGTGAGAGGTGCAGACATTCCTGCTGGCCAACTGGGTCAGATCCAGGTTGGGAAAGAACAGTGTGTGCAGGGCTGAGAGCGCACATTCTTTCATGATGATGTGCAGTTTCGTAATCGTCTTATACGTCAAGGATTTCAGTGTTAAGCAAACAGCTGATGTCAAAATGATACGATGAGAAATTAAACAGCTTGAAAACTTTTAATCATTTTCAACATCCTGAAACAACATCGCGACAAGTGGTTTTAAATTAAAGACTTTTTTACTGATAAGCTGGTCAGGATTCTGACAGAGGGGTCTTATATCATCCTGAAGTTGTTTACTTTCCCTTTTTCCTTTTCCAAAATGTTGCTTATAGTGACAGATAAATAAATAAATAAACTAATTTTAATAAATAAAATAATTAATAAATACATAAATAAACAAATAAATTATTATGATTATTATTATTATTAAATAAAACAAATTATTTTGGTCACACTTTATTTTAAGGCCCAATTCTCGCTATTAACAAACCATTAACTACGACTTTTGCCTCAATAAACTCCTAATTTGTTGCTTATTAATAGTTAGTAAGGTAGTTTTTAGGAATATGTGCTTTATTATGAATATGTGAATATATTAAAGTGTTACCATTATTTTAATGTGGCTTTCAAACTGTGTTGGCTTCCAAATATTTAGAAATGTAAACATTATTTGACAATTAAATAAGACATGAGTAAGCATAAATATATAAGGACTTAAATGTAATAATAAATGTACAATTTTAGTTTTTTAAGCTGTGACTTATGGACGTTGGATAATTTTCTCGAGGTAAATGCTAGGTGACAAATTGTTTACAAGGTGTTTTATTGAAGCCTTTCCATAACAAGTTTGAGACTGTTTATCAGGGCCAGTGGTCAAATATTCATTTTAGTGCTCATTGTACAACAAATATTTGATCACAGACTCCTGCGACTGATTGACCAGTCAGAATTGAGTATTGCAGAAAGATGTGTAATAGTTAAACATAAATGTCTTATGATAGAATTCTTTTTTTTTATTATTCTTTGTTGTTGTAGACAGAGGCACAGCAGTATAAGCAGCAGTTATCTGAGCAGAGCGAGTATCTGAAGAGGGTTCAGCAGAGCAAAGAGCAGCAGGATCAGCAGATCGAGGACCTGCAGCGTCTCATGGGCGGCATGGAGCAGGAGAGCTCCACCCTCAGAGACCAACTCATGACCAAAGAAGCCAAACTCCTGCAGCTGCATGAACTGAGGGAGGAGGGCCATGCAGGGAGAGAGAGGTAGGGGACATGATACATGTATATTGTACCGATTTTGTCATGTCATGTTGCCTTTTTTAACTTTAAGCATAATTTGGGTGTTGCTATAAACAGTCTCTTAATCATTTAACAGGTTAGAAGAGCTGGAAAAGGAAAATGCTATTCTGAAAGAGAAGATTCATCACTTGGATGACATGCTCAAGAGTCAACAGAGAAAGCTACGGCAAATGATTGAACAGGTACATGTGTATGCGCCCAAACGCAGACTCTCATGCAAAATTTTGTCTTGTTTGGTTCACTTGCTAACTCAAGCTTACCATCCGTGTGTCGTCTAGCTTCAGAACTCACGCATGGTGATTCAGGAGAGAGACCGAGTGATCAGAGAGCTGGAGGAAAAGGTGGCCATGCTGGAGGCAGAGGTCAGTCCACAGGATATAAACCAACATCTAGTGGGGATTCACGATTCCCAACAATTCAGTTCAGATTCAACTGAATGAGTCAGGTTCCTTAACGATTCTTTTACTGCAGGACTTTTCTTTGAGCAATAATAAACACATTTAAAAGAATTATTGCAAAAGGTGTGGCTTTTCACAGAGTTCAGTCAGATCATTGCCCTTAACTACACTGAAAAAAAAATTGGTGTAAGAGAAACCATTTTTCGCATCAGGGCGCTGCTGTCAATATGTGGGGTATTTAAATCCCCTTTGAATGAGCGCTCGCAGTCGTAGTTCACTTTCGATTTCGCGATCGCGCGCGCACTGTGTAAAGGGAGCACATCCTACGATAAAAGATATTTGTCAATGAGCTCGGGATCTGTTGAAGAGCAAATCCTCCAACATCTTGTTAGTTTTCTCTCCTTACTTTTGACCCGTGATCAGTCAAATCTGACTTCTGCAGCTCGTGTTGGATGCAGGGTTGTTGTTTTTTTCCACGAAACTGGGCTGCTTTTAAACTGTTGCCATGGGTTGATTTTTCCCTATGGGTTAAAGGTTTGAAATGTTGCATAAATTACATTTGGTTGAAATGCTTGTACTGAAACATTTTGCATTCTACCTGTAATAAAACTGTGCTAAATGTTTTGGGCCACACTAGTAGGAAGCATTTGAGCTGTGTTTATGATAAATGTGCATAACAGTGACTGTAAAATATGTATTTTAGGGATGGAAATTACATTTTTATATTTGGGACATGGTAATTGCACTACTTCGTTCTTTTTTTTTACTGGCATGGGCTTGGGATGCACAATTAAAATTATGTAATATTTGAGATCATTATTTTACCTTCCATGATCATTCAGACACGATCAGGTGCAGTACTACTGACACTCTGCCAAGTCTGCATTAAATCAAGCACTCCGTAATCACAGGTAAACTGTCTCTAGTAGGAAGCATTTGAGCTGTTTATGATAAATGTGCATAACGGTGACTGTAAAATATGTATTTTAGGGATGGAAATTTTTATATTTGGGACATGGTAATTGCGCTACTTTGGGCCTTTTTTTTTACTGGCATGGGCTTGGGATGCACAATTAAAATTATGTAATATTTGAGATCATTATTTTACCTTCCATGATCATTCAGACACGATTATCACAAAGTAAGTCTGTTTAGTTGCGCTATCTTACAATCAATACATAGTAAATGTAAGTTAAAATGTCGCCGATGTAACAGGTTAAAACTTGGAGTGGCGATAATGTCTTAAAATGTATGGAAAGAGTCTTAAAAAAGGTCTTAAAAGGTATTAAATTTAACTCCATGATTCCTGTATATACCCTGCACAAGTATTTTCACCAGATAAAAAATGGTTTTAAGTCAGTTATTTCTGTCTTCAAACTGAGACAGACTAAATCCAAAAGAACTGTGGCAACATCTCCAAGATGCTTCAAGAAACCTACCTGCAAAGCTACAGTACTGTTAAAAGTTTTAGGCACTTGTATAAAAATGCTGTAAAATTAGGATAAATAAATAGATTTTCTTTTTCAATTAACTTCTATTAACTAAATTAAATCAAAATTTGGTGTGACCATCCTTTTCGTTTAAAGCAGCGTTCTTGGTTCCTAACCTTAGTTCTTCTTAATTATTTTCGCTAATCATAATTTCATGAAAATGCACACAAATGTTTCTTTTAAATAGAATTCATTTTACCGCATACAAAAGCGATTAGTAAACTCACCCTTTAATCTCATGAATGTTTCCTGACGTCTGACCTTTGTGAATATGCTTTGCTTACAGAACAAACAAATGCGTGATCAGATGGATTACTACCTGGGGAGTCAAAGGTCAAACTCCTACCTGCCATCAGACGGCAATGCGCAGATTGTCTACAGGTAGGACATGCAAATGATCCCGATAGCTACACGCAAATGTTTTATGCAAATAGTCACATATGCTTGATAACGGACAGAGAAGCCCACACATTCAAATTCATGTGTCTTCTCCACAGCAAACCACTGAGACCATCCACCCAGACCAACAAGAGCCTCCCCTTCATCAAGGTCATTGAAATTAAATCATGAACATTACCACAGCTCTGTTATGACAACCGCACCATCCACAGTGCAGAGGAATACTAGCAACCTAACCATCACAGACCTTCACCAATGACGTGTGATTGCTTTGATGTCTAAAAGCCTTTTCTGCAAGAATACTTCTAACAGTGCAGAGTTACTGTTATTGCCATTATTACATACTCTAACTATGAATTATCCATGTAGATTTGACAGAACAGGGACTGTTAAAGAGCATATCCATTACTATGAAGACAAATGAAGAAAACAAATGAAGAACTCATCTTTGCATTATTATGAGAATTGTAAAGGGCTTCTAGATGGATTCTGGGGGTATTTAGGTATTTATTTGAGGCTGGCCCTCTGAAGACGATGTCTTTCACTCAACATTAATAGACAGACAGATTGTGTTGCTAAACACCCTCATTGAGCTCTCCTTATCTCTCGTAATCTCCTTCGGTATTAGCTCGGCTAAACTTTAGTGGGTTTCTGAGTTCACAGAAATCACAGGTGAAAATCTGTTAAAATTATAGAGACAATGGATGGGAAGAACATTTTTATTTTATTTTATTTTTTTATTTTATTTTTAAAAGAAGGACAAAGGTATGTGAATTAAAGAAGGATGAAGGATTTTTGTATCTTAATTGTATCTATTTGTTAAGGCAGGAAATGTGTTCTGTGGTACTGTTGTGGCTATTGATTTTTTTTTTTTACAATAATTCAGCTCCCGTTTCATTGATAACTGATGATGAAAGATGATGAAAGAACTGAAGGGGAGACCCAAGTTCATCCTGAAACAAAAACTGCAACAAATATTTATTTTTGCTCTACATGCTTTTCTCAACCAAGGAGACACAGCAGGGAGAATCCAGTGACTCTCCTTCTATGAAAAACAAAGACGCCTTGTGAGTGTTTCATAAGTTTGAAAGAATGTAACACTTGTCCTCCAGTGAGCCAGACCAGTTCAGGCCAGTAGGGCACAGTGTGACCTCTGTTATCCAGTCCAGCCAGCCTCTGCAGTACAATCTACAGTTACTCAGTTAGATATTTCCAACATTCAGTAAACTGGTTTTATAACACCTAGTTAGAGAAGTGATGTGATTGGCCGGAGCACCTGCCCACCTCAAAGTAATGTCATGTGAACCATTAATAATACCACAGCAGAGATTATTTATGCTTCGTTAATTTATTTCTGGGCAGGGCTGTGTTTAAAAATGCATTTCATAACCATGTTTATCCACCTTCACATTTGTAGATAGTGTGTATATTTTCTCTGTGTGAACTTTTAACCGTATGTGAATTTCTTAGGCTTCATATTAGCATGTAACATCTTTTGTTATTTTTTAATAATATTTTTGTAGTAAAAACGAGTGGTTTGCAATGCTTGAATTAATGGCATCTTGTATATTTAAATAAATTTGTTTCATGAATGTTGTTGTTGTTGTCTTGCCTTTTCTTCTGTCTGCAAAGGAATGTGGTTTATGGTTATGTGGTTAGTTTTATGGCATCTTAAAAACAATGAAATATATATCCTATCAAAATTTTATGACATGAAGTAGTACCATGGAATCTGATCTCCACTGTAAGCACACCAGGATATTTTATTCCCCTCACATTGCTTGTCCCCATATTTTATCTTCAAGTTGTTTGAGGGTCACCATTGCCTGTTAGGATATACTGGAATATATAGGATATTGTGGAATATTATTATTTAGCAATTCTGCAATAAATGAATCAAAAGTCATAGTAAATACATTTAAAACGTAACTAACTATTGCAAACAATGTCATATTCTATTTCACATAAACGCTGTTCTTTTTAACTTTGTATTTATCAAATAATTCTGGGGGGAAAAAAGTATCATATATGAAGCAGCTCAACAGTTTTTAAACTTTGAAAATAAATGTTTCTTCAGCACCAAATCAGCATTTTAGAAAAATTTCTGAAGAATCATGAGACACTGAAGACTGGATTAATGATGCTGAGAATTCAGTTTTGCATAACAGAAATAAATTACATTTTACAATATATTACAATAGTGAACCGTTACTTTAAAATGGAACAATATTTCACAATATTACAGTTTTACTGTATTTTTAATCAAATAAATGCAGCTTTGGTGAGCATAAGACAAAAAATCATTTAAAAAAAAAAAACAGACTTTTGAACATTTGTGTATTGTATGCATTAACTATTTAAGAAATATTAAAGGTCTGAAACAGCTCTCTATGATACTGAAGCTTATATATAATATATATATAAGGAGTCAAAAAAAACTAAAATGAATAGATGACATCAGGGGAGCCCAGTCCTATTCCTGGAGATCTACCTTCCAGGAAAGTTCAGCTCCAACCCTTATCAAACACGCACCAGCTAAACCAGCTAATTGAGTTCCTCAGAAGCACTTGATAATTACAGACAGGTGTGCTGGAGCAGGGCTAGAACTGCACTGAACTGAACAGGCAAGTAGATCTCCAGGAACAGCCCTGGATTACATACTGAACCAGTGACGTCTGGTTAGAGGAGACCACTACTGACAGAGCAGCGCAGGTACAGAAGACGCAGACAATTTATTAGATCTGATAAGACTTTAGAATACAGTGAAAGTCAATATAGACAGTCTCTCATACAACAACCATATCAATTCATGACTCAAACCTATACACACATTTACACCAACTCATTTAAAAAATACAAATGCACTTTAAAAGAAATAATCAATCGCATAGAAGTTAATAATATTGTTCTCTCCCAATTTCTCATCCTCTGCACAGCTCTTCTCATGGATGTGGGACAGGTTCTTATTTAGAAACCTCAAACTGAAGTAGCCTTAGTATAAAATTGGACAGTTAAAGGGATAGTTTACCCATGAATGCATGGGTTAGTTGAGCACAAAAAAAAGGTATTTTGAAGAATGTATGTTTTGCTACCAACATTCTTCTTCTGTGCACAACAGAAGAAAGAAACTCTCATAGGTTTGGAACAAGTGGAGGGAGAGTACATTTTCATTTTTGGGTGAACTGTCCCTTTAATGTCCATTCAACTATTTTTTTAATTCATGTGTTTGTTCCAGTAAAGTCAATCCAGTTAAAATGCTATCATCTCAGTTAAAGAGATGGTTTGTTGGTGCTCTTTGGACAATAAAGATATAAACTTTACACTCCCTGTTCACATTAAAAGGCCATTCTCGCAAATAAAAGCTGGTAAACAGTGACTTTTAACATTAGACAAAAAAGCTCTTCCTGTTAGCTCCATCAGAAAAACATTAAAACTACAAACATAACATTCTCGCATTGCTCTCAAAGCAGTTGCACTGACAGTTATCCCACAGATTGTGTCATATATTAAGTCATTGTCACATTCTCAATGTGATTTGAGGCCATTTGACTGTTTTCATTTCTACATGAAGGCTTTTCCAGTGAGAACTGAACACTTCTGATTCACAGTTTCTGAGTTATATTTACACAGTTCCTCAAAAGGGTTCCATTCTCTAAAGTGTGCTCTCCAGTGTATTATAGTTGTCTTTGAAGTTTTTGAGCTCCAGGAAGTGTTTGGGCCTCTTGCTGCACTGTCCGGTGGACGGCAGGTACGTGACCTGAATGGTAGAGGCAGACGGCGGGCCGGAGGAGCTGGTCAGATCTTTAGCTGCTGACTGGTGCTGCTGGTTTAGACTGGTGGTGCTGGAGTGGGTCTTCACACTGTGGAGAAAAGAGGAAGAACAGAGTGAAAAGAGAGATAATTTGAGAGATAAACAGCAAAAATTGGACAGCAGCACTTACACAGCAGCCAGTTCTGCCAGATCGTCCTTATACTTCACGAACTCTGCCTCACGAAACACCTACAGGAAAGAAATCGCAAGCCTCTTATATGTGTCCTGCAGCGCCCCCTGCTGTACATAACCATTTAACACACATTTGCACTCAGACTGACCCCTGTCCCATGGCGAGCGTTGTCATAGCCCTCCAGTAAGCGATCTATTAATGCACTGTGGCTTGATTTGAACAGAGAGTGAGAGTTTCGCAGGTCCTGCAGCCACTTCCTGTAGCGGCGGCCGGTCAGAGCGCTGGCACTGCGACATAACTCATGAAACGGGATATCTACAGGTGGGACAGAACCAGATCACGTCAGAACAAGCTAGACCTGTATGCACACAGTGTTCTATTTCACAAGCTCATTACAAAATGATTTTCACCAGGTGAAACTTAATAATATAATACACAAATATAATATCAGTTTAATAAATTCTAAGTTAACACTGCATATTTAATTCGTAAGTTAAAAATGAAATGTATATACCATTATGTGTATAATGTAACTAAATGATTATAAATTTAATGTTCACCACTGTTCAAAAGTTTTTGGTACATTTTTTTTCAAGAAATTAATTATTTTATTCAGAAAGGATGAATTAAACTCCATTAAAAAAAAAAAAACATTTTAAAAAGACATTTTAAATGTTACCAAAAAATATATATTTTAGATAAATTATGCTCTTTAAATAAATAAATAATATAACAGTTTCCACAAAAACATATTAAGCATCACAACTATTTTCAGAATCAATAATAATAAATGCATCCTGTGCATCAAATCAGCATATTAGAATGATTTCTGAAGAATCATGTGACACTGAAGACTGGAGTAATGGCTACTAAAAAATTCAGCTTTGCATCATAGGAATAATATAAATACACTGAAACAGAAATCAGTTATCTTAAATTGGAATTATTTCACAGTATTAGTGTTTTACTGTATTTTTGATCAAATAAATGCAGCCTTGTTGAGCAATATAAGACTTTTTTAACAAACATTTAAAAAAAAACAAATCTCACTCACCCCAAACTTTGTAATGGTAGTATATAAAAAGAGTTGCAAAATTGTGTTTTGTGAATTTATGGCAGTATTATTAATGTTATTATTAGTATTACTATAATGTAAAAAAAAAAAAAATAAATAAAATTTAACTGAAACAAATGAAAATGAACATACCGGAGAACTAAAACTAAAATGCATATTAATGTCTCCAAAACTAAATGAAATAAAAAATGGCCTTCAAATCATTTTAGGTTTTTATGCACAGCATATTATTAAGTACCTCTTAACTAACAGCTCTGAAATACTAAAAATAAAACAAACAAATTACAGTAGAACAACTCTGAAAAAACTAAAAGACAGAGTCAAAATCAAATGTAACGTGTAAACTGAAAATAAAATAGAAACAAAAACTATATATTTTCTAAACTACTGTATAATTGTGATAATTTCTAGATCAAATCATCAAATGAAATTAAAATTAAAACTTCTAGGCCTTTATATTAATGAGAATTTAAGGTAAATTAATATAAGACGTCTTTCCAGTAACCACTGGGCTTGACACGACACAATCTTTGGCTGCACGCAGTCAGAAGGGGGTCTCACCTGAGTCTCTGATGGCATCTAACGCTTGCATTCTGAAGAGGTAATTATAACAACCTGCACAAACACAAACACAGACATAAGTGTTCACATCTGCAACAGTATTTACAAAGAACTGCCAGGGGCTTCTTTGTTTCTCTCACCATTCTGGCCTTGACGCTTCAATCGATCGTCATCTTTAGAGAGTAAATGTGGCTCATAACGAATATCGTTCACTTTTGACAAACTGGAATCAATCTCCTCTCTCAGCTCCTGTGAAAGATGCAGCCTTTCTTCAGTGCATTACAAACTTACTAGTAGTTGCAGCAAAAAGCATCATAAAAGGTATAAACAGAAGAACAACATCATATAAACAAAAGAGTGGCCAGTTATATTGTTAATACAATGCAAATTAGATGCATATATGGGACTCTCCACAAGAATCCAGAAGGTAAAGTCTGAAGACTGAAAATTACTTTATGCCTAAACAATAATTAAGTAGGAAGTAAAAAACAAATAATACAAAACACAAAGACATGGAAACGTTTAACTGTTTATAATTTTATACCAACAGTTTCCCCAAAAATATCTTAGTTACTACAATAAACCTGGCAAGTATGGTCTCAGAGGAATTAATCAAATTAAATGTCCTCTACAAAGACACAAGTGCTATTTTGGATTTGATACCTTTGGTGCGTTGTGACCCAGCGGGACGTGCGGTCCTCTGCGAGACTTCATAGCGAAGCGCATAATCTGTCTTTTCACAAAGATGAACAGCAGCACAAACACCTGCAGAACCACAGACGGTTCATTCAACACATTACACAGTCAAATACAGTGCTGACACGGTCTGCTTTATTTTAGCTGGTATTCTCAGCAGACAGAGGTTCAAACGTTAATGCGCTGCTTATCTAGACAGTACTTTTTAGGCATCATGGGTGCCATTA